ATGCTTCATTCAAACAATTCAATCTGATGAAAATAAAAGTGTCGAAGCATTTTTTTTACACTGAACACATTAAGTCATTCTCCACATATATTCATATGATGTATGGCAAATCTTGTTATAAATCATTAATGGTTGACTTGCCCATTCCAAAAATAAGTGCAGTTCGTATGTTTCATAAAACATTTCGTGGATCTTAGTTCCATTGTCAATTTAATACATTTCATTTTCAATTCACATCCATTCCAGTTGCCTATATTAAACAGAATAAGAAAAAAATTATAGAACACAAGCTGAGATCCGAATGGTTTGCAATGTGTATATAAGCTAATTTGCATCGACTCGCGGATTTGCTATAAATGCCATACACTTTCTATGCTATGACTTGTGTATATATTTGTATGAATTCGTTCGAGTCTTCACGAATCTCCGTAAATTGGTGCGAGTCAGTGCGAGTTACTTGCAATTCAGCGCAAATCATTTTTAATTTACATGAAAATCATACGAGTCTTGCTGACTCGTGACGACAAATAAGCCCCTAGAACATAGTCTAGTCCAGTCAAAATATGTGCAAACAACGCAGTACTACACAAACATACGTGAAATAATAGCAATTCCACCACAGTATAGACAATGCAAAGACACTTGATTTACCATTCTAGATTTATTTTCACAGAGAATCTGTAGCACAGATATTTTTCATGCGCTTTGCAATAGGTTTTCGCTTCTTTCTCTGTTTTCTATTTTATTTCGAAACATAATGGGTTTCGTTGTGATTATGAATTCAAATCATGTATTCAAGATGGAGGTACGACCGATGATAGAACTTGAATTCATTTCAATGTGCAAAAAAACCATGTCTTGAATGAAACCAAAGAGCAGTTTTTGTACAGAATCACCTATGTAGCACTAGCACTATGTTTGTGTTTGAATTTGGTGTTTTCTATTTCTTCGCCGAACATTCCGTTTTTCTCTCTCTCTGCCGATCTCACTCGTTTGATAGTTGCACCATATTAGGCATCTCCTCTGAAAAAGCGAACAGCAACCACAATATCTGTAGCGTGAATCTTAGTACTCGTACAAAAACTACAGACTTTTCACTTTCCGAAACACATTGATTTTAATGGGCACATTCATATGGTGTGGCGCTCACTCACAATGGATGCCGCATTGATTTCCATTTGAATTTTTTTCTTCTACTAACCCGTTTCATTTGATCTCGGTGAGACAGCGTTTGTCACTTGGGAATAAAATGTGTCACTTTAGAATGTGACTTTTCTTCTCTCCATACATCGTCCTGGCTGAATACAATGCGTAATGCGTCCAGCTCTTTATTGCTATTTAATAGTTTGCCGACGTCCCGAAATTACTCGGATGCAGTGGACCGTCATTTCGTAATAAAACACTTGAACAATGACATTTTCAACCACTAACACGGATAAAGTTTTTCGACTGACGAACGCTGATAGATTCCATTGGAATTGAGAAATTTGTGGTTTGACCCAACTTTTTGGTCTATTTTGGCGCAATCAACGACAGCCATTGAAAATTATCTGACTACGTTCAATGGGTCCTATACACTATACAAAAACACTAACATGTTCTAAGATCCAAAGAAATTGCAAACGCAATTGAAATTTCACAACACGAAATTCCTTTCTGCAATTAAAAATCATCAAAGTAAAAGCAATATACAGAAACTGGAAACTACTACAACAACAACAGCAACGGCAGCAGCAGCAACAATTTCTAGCAAAAAAAAAAAAATTAAATGTGATCACGGTCACTTGACATTTTTCATTCAACATTCAACATTCACATTGCGCTGCTCCGTTCCTTCGGGTGTTCATTTCAGCTTCATATAAATGATGTGCTTCTCTTTTGATCGGTATGCAGCAGGAAAAACTTTTAAAATTAATATTCTGAAAATTAAAATGTTCATTTCAATGATAACATCGGGATGGAAAGCGGGTTTGAGTGGTGGTGAGTAAGTGTGCACGAAAACTTTTAACTAGTATGTTTGAATGTGGAGGGGAGGGGAAATAAAGGGCGGAAAGTGCAATGAACTACAAGCACAAAGTCCTCCTTTGGACGCAATTAGTAGTCCACGAATGTAATTCACTTATCTCACCAAATAGACATTGAACAGACGATAAAAGGTCAACCGAAAATGTTCCGCATAAATTTCGCTCTTTGCCATTTTCCCTTGAGATTATTGCATTGCTCATTGCAATCGATAAGTAGGGGAGATAAAATGCGAAAAGTTGACTATCAAAAACCATGAAAAGTTTTCAGATTATCTCATAATTGTCGCTGTGATCTCGCCACAAACACCAAACTAACTTAGATCCAGGTGAAATGCCGAGATAACTTCGACATACTAAATTGGTAAGCTGAATTGTGTGTGTGTGTGTGTGTGTGTGTGTATGCGCCTGTTTCAGTATATATTTTTTTCATTCTGTTAATAAGTGTCAAGTGTAATTTAATGATTTAAACAAGTCAATAAAGTAATTAATATCGGCTTCCAAACGAGTTGCAAACACTAAAGTGACCTCTTAAACGGACACAGTGCCAAAGAGGCGAAGTTTTCAAATTGTATGTAAAATTGCAAACACATTGAAACTCGTTGGTTTGTTGCCATGTTTCATCACTCCATCGCCGCCGTTTTTTTTGTCTCTAGATTTCGACGCTTTGTTACAGTTCTGCACAATGCAAAGTTCCATCAAACTTTTCATCAGCTTACACATAATGTACGCGATGTTTTATGCTTTAGATATAATTATAGTCACGAGATTGCCGTGGCGCGTTCAGCTTGCTCGCTTTGTGTCGATGTAGATTGGGTCTGATCATTTTTTGCTGCTGTTGTTGTTGCTGCTTCCGCCGTCTGTCAGTCAGCCAGCATTATACCATATAGCGCGCTGCATGCTATCGTTGTTTAACATGCTGTTAAAAACGACACAAAGATATTAAAGTTTAAATAGCTTTTTTCGTGAGTTTCGCTTGATATTCCATGGCTGATGCCGTCAGCCTGGTCATCTCGCTCGCGCGCGACTACTTCATCACATTCCGCTTCCATTTGTCCGAAATGTGCGCAACGAGCCACGGCAAACATTCCAATCAAAAACAGTTTGCCGAAGTATCTTTTTAAAGCGTGCAACAACATTTTATAAATACATAAATATTTGCATGCATAAAAGCAATTCCTGCATTAAGCCGGATTACGTTCATAAATTCACTTCCATTCGCAGCTACTTCAATATGAACAATACAAATGAATATTTCAATTACGTGTATTTGGCTTGACATATTTCTAGTTTTGAAAATTCACTTTTCAATTCCTCCTTTCTTCCATGTTTTGGCATTTGATTTCGCTATACCAAATCTTGAAGGGAAAAAAATTAAACGAAAAAATGAGAGAGAGAAAATTGTTTTTGTAAAAAAAAAGCAGCTACGAATCTCGTAATGAAATAAAGTGGTGTTCTAATTGCAAATGAGGAATAATTGTTCGACTTTCGATTATGTGTTTTTATATTATTCCATTTTAAGCGTCTTTAGACGTGTTTGAAGTTTGGATTCAAGATGCTGCCATTTCAAGGCGATGATATATCATCGAACAAGAGGAAGACAGTTTGTGTGTTTGTGTGAAAAAGGAAACACGATTAACTGGCGTTGAAAAGTTGAAAGAGAAAAATCCAAGTGCGGAAACGAAGAAGATTTTCATCTCTCATTCGTAATAGAACGTTTGATTGAATCTGTGCAGCACCTTTCGAATTATAGTGAATGGGTGGATTTTTCAATCATTTATTTATAGCTACTCTTATTAAATTTTCTTCAATTTTGCTTGTGCTCGGTTCGGTACAATGGCAATTGCTGATGACGGACGATGAACAAATCGAACAACGAAACGAAAGAGCGCAAATCAACTGCTACAGCAGCAACAGCCACCGAAAGTGGAAAAAAGAAGAAAAAATAATCATAAATAACTCGTAAAATCATACGAATCGAAAAATGCTCTGTATTTGTAGAAATTTTACGTTCAATTGGAAATGAAATATAGGTTTATATATTCTTTTCATAGATTTTTGTCATACATTTTATTTCTGTTCGTCTCGTTTCGACTTTAGTTTTCTTTTTTTGTACGCTCTCCTTCTCTCCTGTTCTCTCTTACCCTGTTTTGTTTTTAGTTTTCGTCATTTCTTTTCCGTTGAGCAAAAGAATTTTTATGAACTCGATAAAGTTGGTTGGTTGTCGGCACCAATTCACATGTATGATTTGTCCGTTCGTTGCCATTTCCACGCAGTTTCCACACAAAACGAACACATTCGGTTTGTCCATTCAACGGAATCGCTTGAGCGGAGAACCGCATGAACGGACCATACTAATGTGTTACTATCGAATGCATGAGTTGTTTGAGAAACAGCCGACCAACACCATCGTGTCTTCCTTTTGCTGCATCCACTGTGCTATTGCTGCTGCTGCTGCTGCTGCTGCTGATTCTGCTGCTGATTCTGTGGCTGCTCTGTTCCTTTTAATTTTTCGGATTTTTCAATTTGAAATTGTTATTTGTATTTATGGACTCGAACGAACGGAAAAAATATGCATATATGTAGTCGCCTTTATGTACAACGTACAATATACACATGCATATGTACGTATATGACAGCGATGATGATGTACACATTCGTGTCCAGACAACATAAAATATACATTCAAAAAGAGACTTGTGCAAACACTATGTATATTGCCGACTACATTACCATTTAACCATAAAGTAAATGTCTCACATACAGGAAAAAAAATCCAAATGAGACGGGAAAAACGCTCCATTGCACGGTATACATGCTCATTTTTGAATGTGGGCATTTTATTTGATTCCTTTCATTCTTAGTACAGCTCTTTCATTTTATATCTCGTATGCTCATTTTATTCGATTTCTTCTTCTTCTTCTTCTTCTTCTTCTTCTTCTTCTTCTTCTTCTCATCTCCATGCGTTTTTCTCTGCAGTCAATTTAAAACCATTAACTTTTGACGAAGTCTACAACCAAAGTAGTCCAACAAACTGTACAGTATATTGTGGCGGCGTAAATGGCGCATTGTCCGGAGCATTGACAGAAGAAATTTTACAAAAAACATTTTCACCATTTGGTACGATTCAGGAAATCAGAGTGTTCAAGGATAAAGGATACGCTTTTGTTCGGTAAGATGAAAAAACAGAATTTATTCATTTCAAATGTAAATTTTGTTTCTATTTTTTTATTTGGAATTTATTGTACGATTTTCATTCATATCTTGCAAAAAAAAATCGGTTCGAAAGTTTCATCTAATTGCTAAAAAAAATGTTCTTTCCACGGCAAGTGTGGTGGTAACACTGCATGTATGCTTGAGAAATGAGTAGCGGTGGAATAAAAATGTTAACCGTATGTCTCAGCCTGTAAATAGTAAAGTAAGTGGTTTCAGTAGCACGAAAGTATATGATGAAAATCGCGCCTCAAATTTAAAAAAAAAATACGAGGTGCAAAATCCTGTCACTGGCCACATGCAACGAAATTTCGACATACAAAAACTTAAACCTTCATACAGATTTCAGTGGTTTCATTTTATGAGATGTGATTGAAAAAGTGTGGAAATTGTCGCCACCATTTTTTTTATTCGCATTTCATTTTAAATTGTTATTTCGTTCGTCTTTTCTTGTTCGGCGCAACAACGGTAATTCTCCCATCGTTGTTTGCTGTGTGTGTTTGCTTTTTTCTTTGCCATATTCATATTTTACTCTATCTTGATCTACACGTTTGAAAAATTATGGCTATCATTTAATAGAAAAAACGGTTTTATACGTTTTTATAGGGGCAACTTACAATTTTATGAAACAGTGTGTTAATAAAATTGAAAACAAAAAATAATGGAAAAAGCGTCAAACCACAGGAAACGCATGCGAGAGCAACAACGAATACTCTCTCACGCACACACACACAGATATACACAATAAATCGCATACAAACACTAGAATGGACGAATAAATAAAGAAATAAACGTTTTTGTTTGAAATTATATTGTGCCTGCGCGGCCTGTTTATAATTATTCACGATAAGGTCAGTCACCATTTCAATATCGCCACTGAGCTCGGATGGCATTTTTTCGCTGTTTTCTTTCATTCATTCTGCTATTGTTGCTGTTCAACAACAAAACAATTTAATAGAGTGAAGTCACATGATACGTAATCCTGTTTCATGCTCATAAATTTTGTTGACATTTTCCCCTTTGTAATCTCTCGCAAAGCATATTCAACGGGAACGTATTCTGCTTTCTCTCGCTTCGGCTCCCGCGTCATTTGGGAGCATTTTACTTAGTTACCGTTGATTTTGTGCAGTGGCGTGGAAGAAGAGCTAAAATTGTATTCATGCACTTATTTTTTTTAGTTTCACTTTATTTTCGTGTTCATTACGTATTGTTTCATTTGACATTTGCATCCTTTAATGCAAATTGCGTTTGGAAATTGTAAACATTTGAATCAATATTTCTTACATTGTCCGATGTGCAATTTGTGTTCATAGTTTTTCCACGAAAGAGGCCGCAACACATGCGATCGTTGCGATTCACAATTCCGAAATCAATGGGCAGCCAGTGAAATGTTCATGGGGAAAAGAGAGCGGAGATCCAAATAATGCACCATCGATTGCAAGTCAGGCATTGGGTCAAGCTGGTTTTCCATTTGGCACAGCATATGGTCAGCAAGTGGCTGGCTATTGGTATCCACCAGCACCGACCTATCCAACTGCTCCGGCTCCCTCGGCACCCATTCAAGGTCAATTCTTGCAAGGAATGCAAGGGTATGCGTATGGACAATTCGCCGGTTACCAACAAGCTGGATACATGGGGTAAGTAATGTCAAAATATATCGAAGTTAAACAACATTTTCGGGTTTGAATTTTAACATTCTCTTCTTGTGCGGTGAGAGTTTTTCCAATTTTCTTAATTAATATTGAAATTATGATATTCAGAATGGGTGTTCAAATTCCGGGTGCATGGCAAGGAGTTCCAGCTCAAGCACAAATTCCAGCTGCTCAAATTCCAACTGCCCAAGGTGTTGGCAGCGCCCTGCCACAGGCTGCTGGTGTTGTTGCTTATCCAATGCAACAATTTCAGGTGAGCCCTCAGGTACATATCAATCATTTTTCATAATAACCCTTTTTTATTCTTCAACTATTCAAACAAAAAAAAATATATCACAGAACGAGTGTCACATGATCGCTTAAACGTACAATTTTGACTAAGTTCGGTCTTATATTGGCGATCATGTACCGTTTTAAATTTTAGTGCTAAATTCCAGAAGAAGCATAAGATTTCCAAAAAAAAAGATTCGATTAAAAATATTTTCTTATTGCATTCAGTAATATATATTTATAAACATATATACAAAAAAAACACCATTCATTGTTATCAATCAAACGAGTTGAACATTGGAAATGTGGCAAAACGTTCTCAAAACGAAGTCAACAATCTAATGTGTTAACGTCGATTGATGGAATAAAAAATCGGTACGAAATTCTTTGAAAAAAAAAAAAAATAAACAAAATGTTTACTCTTGTGTTGTCGATAAAAATTCTTAAATTGATGAATCAAATTCAATCAAAATGTCCATCGATTTGATTGAAATCGATTTTCGAACGCGATACTAAAATGAACTAATCAGTGTTAATGAATCTGTTCCAAAATGAATAAATATATTTGCCGTACATTGTGTCACATACAATATATCAACACGGGCGGCGAGTGTCCAATTGAATGTTCAGGGTGGTGATAAAATGTTGGCAACCAGGCCTGAATGGGCTAATACTTCATTTGATAATTAAATGTAAATGTATGTGCATATCGAATGTTCACAATTTGAGCGAAACACGTTACGATGCGATCCCTTTCGGTAAAATGATGTGGAGCTGGCTTCGGCGACGAGGCTTTAGCGAATACAAAGTAGAAAATAATATGTTTTATTATCAATTGACAATGGGTGCAAAGGTGGCTGTTGTTGGTGCGTGCGAGTGAGCGCGTTTGATGCGCTCAGCTGCGATATGGACTATTAACCATTATGCCATTTTACAATGGGCCATCCGGCCGTTTCTTTCTCCAGCAAATTACATGGCAATTACAACAATGATTGGAGCTGAAACGTGTGATCAATGCATACGCGTGCATACAACCGCAAAATATTCGCTCCCTCTCTCCCGCACCCGTCTCTCTAATGTTATTTTGTTTACGAGATACTTTTTTTTCTCCTATTTTCGCATTCATAGCACCCACTAATGCATAGTAATATTATCACGGTTTTCAGGCAATTCAAAAGATGCCCCATATCATGGGCAACGGTATCACAATGGGCAAACGGTTAAATGTGCATCAAAAATTAAACACACGCACACGCACAAATCCATTTAGGCATAAGTGGATTTGACAATAATTTTACATCAATTTTCCGTTTGATTTCAAATGCAATTCATTGGGCCTTGTTCGCATAGCATAGTCTCATTCTTGCCAACATATTCAAATTTATGATTAATTTTCAATAATATAGTGAGAGGAAGAGGGAGCATAGTGCATCGCATATATTCATAACCGAACATGACGATGGGTCGATCGGTCGCAGATGGGAAAAAAAGAGATGAATTTAGCTTTGAAAATGCGCACTAGCAATGTAGCAACCATTTATTTATAATATGCAATTTGTTTCAAATCGATAAATATTTTACGAAATAATGCGAATGAGTTCACCCGAAAAAAATAGGTTGAAATTCTATGAAAACTTATTGAGTAGCAATTTTAATGCAGGAATTTATGGTTTGTAATATATGACTAGGTGGTCACTGGTCATTTTCATTCGCAACAACGAAACGTCGCCATTTTGCACCACAGACGCAACAAAAACACTAAAACACATCACTTTGATCCGTTGTAAATAAATTCATAGTACACATTCGCATCGTATTTGTCAATCTTCAATTTTCGAATCTCGTATCCAGAGCGGTCAACGAGCGCTCGTTCGTTTATTCGTATGCGAACATGTTCGTTCGTTCGTAGAATCTGCGAACATGTTCGTTTGTTCGTTCGTTCGTTCGTAGGTAAAATTTCATTTTTTTTTTCAAACATAAATTTTTCTTATTTCTTAAGCAAATGATCCTATAATTTCCATTAAAAAAAATGAATGTTATTTAAACAGCCTAAAATAAGAGAAGGCGAATGGATTTCAATTATTTCGAATGGATTTTGCTTTTCGCATTTGAATTGCTCCGTTAATATCGCCTTCTCTTATTTTGGGCAGTTTAAATGACATTCATTTTTTTAAAATGGAAATTATAGGATCATTCCAATTTTTTTTTTAAGAAATAAGAAAAATTTATGTTTGAAAAAAAAAAAATGAAATTTTACCTTCGAACGAACGAACGAACGAACATGCTCGTAGATCCTACGAACGAACGAACGAACGAACATGCTCGTAGATCCTACGAACGAACGAACGAAC